AGCCTCCCTTAGGTATCAGTGGGATCAGGGTCAGGCCTTAAAATCTCCCAGGATACAGGAGATGACACAGAAGGTTGCTTATTAGGCAGTGCAGGGAACAATGCAGCTGTAATATATGGCCTACAGTCACCCTCACCTTGTAAATGATGGGAGAGCACAAAGGTGATTGAGTGGTGATTTCTGTGGGCAGCGAACTGCAGCAAACAGCAGCTAAGTAAAAATCAATTCTTGTACACACCCACTCACCCACCAATATTGTACATGGTCTATTTTATTTTTAAAAGGGCAGCTGAAGCAGAAATGTCACACACCAAGGGGCTGGGCAGAGATGTCACTGTGGCCTTCTGTCGCTCAAATGCTAAGCATCTCTGATCTATCAGATGTGGGGCTTTCCAGAAACCAATCAGTTGAGTCAAATCCTAACAGTTATTCTTTAGGTGGAATCCATGACCCAAAAGCTGTGCCTTTGTGTTAATGCCCATGGTTAATTAAGGCTACAGGCCCAGTCAAGGTTTGTGTATTCATTTCAGCTGTCTAGCTATTTGGGTTGTGATTTTGCCCCCTTTAATTAGCAGTCAACAAAAGTCAAGGTGTTTTTTTCCCCCTGTGTTTTACCCAAAAGGAAGATGTCCTTCAATACTTAGCCCTATCATATAAAAGAAGTCTCATCTAAGACTCACAAACTGCTTGACAAGTATTCATATCGCGTTACAACAGTAAGTGCTGTTATAGGCATTTGACAGATGAAGAAACAAAGACACACAAGTGCGGAGCCAGGCTTCAAACTGTCCCTTAATTGGGGACATTTTGTTTCAGAGCTCATAGGCCTAATTTTCATTTTATCTCTAGTCATTGAGGACTAGGGATGCTCAATCCCTTTGAAAACCTCTGAAGAGAAGTCTCAGGTTGGGCAGCCAAAACTCTTGGGGAAATTTTGGCTTATGTGAATTCTCCAGAGTCATGGCCAGTGACTCCCAGAGCCTACAACTGAGAGGATTTTCATAATAATAGAATCTGGAAAATATATTTGTGTAATATAGAAGAACCAAAAGCACATTTTTGAATCCATTTCTAAACACTTGGAGAGGAGAAGGAACAGTTAGCATGGATTCAGCAAGGGCAAGTCATGTCTGACCAACCTGATTGCCTTCTATGACAAAATGACTGACACTGTGGATGTGGGAAGAGCAGTGGGTGTGATATACCTTGATTTTAGCAAGACTTTTGTTATTGTCTCCCACAACATTCTCACAGGCTAGCTAAGGAAGTACGGGTTGGATGAATGGACTGTAAGGTAGATAGAAAACTGCCTAGATCATCAGGCTCAGAGGATAGTAGTCAATGGCTCCATGTCTAGTTGGCAGCTGGTATCAAGTGGTGTGTGCCAGGGGTCACTCCTGGGGCCGATTTTGTTCAATATTTTCATCAGTCACCTGGAGGATGGAAGAGAGTGCACACACAGCAAGTTTGCAGATGACACCAAGCTGTGGGGAGTAGTAGATACACTGGAGGGATAGGACTAGGATTGAGAGAGACCTCGACAAATTGGAGGATTGGACCAAAAGAAATCTCATGAGATTCAATAAGGACAAGTACAAAGTCCTGCACTTAGGATGGAACAATCCCATGCACTGATACAGTCTGGGAACTGACTGGCTAAGCAGCAGCTCTGTAGAAAAGGACCTGGGGGTTACACTGGACAATAAGCTGAATATGAGCCAGCAGTGTGTCCTTGGGAGGAAGGCTAATGACATATTGGGCTGCATTGGTAGGAGTGTTGCCAGCATATCAAGGGAAGTGATTATTTCCCTCTATTTGGAGTACTGTGTCCAGTTTGGGGCCCCCCACTACAGAAAGGATAGCGACAAATTGGAGAGAGCCCAAGAAAGGGCAACAAAAATGGTGAGGGGGCTGGGGCACGTGATTTATGAGGAGAGGGTGAGGGAACTGGTTTTATTTAGTCTAGAGAAGAGAAGACTGAGGGAGGATTTAATATCAGCTTTCAACTATTTGAGGGGTGGTTCCAAAGAGGTTGGAGCTGGACTGTTCTCAATGGAGGCAGATGATAGAACAAGGAGCAATGGTCTCAAGTTGCAGCAAGGGAAGTTTAGGTTGGATATTAGGAAGAACTCTCTCAGTAGGCAGGTAGTAAAACACTGGAACAGGTTACCCAGAGAGGTTGTGGAGTCTCTATCCTTGAAGGCTTTTAAGACCAAGCTAGACAAAGCCTTGGCTGGGATGATCTAGTTGGGAATAATCCTGCTTTGAGCAGGGAGTTGGGCTAGATGACCTCCTGAGGTCCCTTCCAACCCTGATTTTCTATGATTCTGTGATTTTCTGTCTCCTAGGAATGGACTGTGAGCTCTGTCCTCCTGAGTGGCTGCTGCACAGGGGGAGATGTTATTATTTCTCTGAGGAGAAGAAAATCTGGGAGTCCAGTAGGGATTATTGTGCAGCCAGGAAATCCAGTCTCCTGGTTTTTGAAAATGAGGTAGAAATGGTAAGTATTGCAGCACTGCACAAATCCTCACAGAGGAGCAAACATCAACTGGATGGATGGATTTAAACCAGATACTCACATTAACTCCCTCTCATCCCTAGGGCTTTATCAACACCCAGAGGGATGATGCTAATTTTCGATGGATTGGATTAAACTTCAAAGCGGAAGTGGGGTGGATGTGGCTCCATGACCCTGATATACATGGATACAGGTCAGTGTGGTTTTTCTTCCTTAAACATGACATTCAGTTACTTATAATGCATCTGCCTGGTGCATAATCTGCTTCTCTTGAGTCATTGCTATGACCCAGATGCCTCGCTCCCAAGAACAGTGTTTTCTCCTTAACTTCTTGGGTGCTGAGGTGTGTTTGGGTTCTGATACACATGCCTGAAAAGTAAAAGCATTCCATAAAGCTGATTCCCATCCTTTTCTAGACCTGCTCTTGCCTCAGAAAGAGCAAACCCTACATTCCCTTCACCAGCCTCCTTATACTCTCTTTTCCGTTAGTGTTATGCCTTTTACAACTAAGGTTTCCTTCCTTCTGCCACGTGCTACTACTTTCTTGCATAAAAATTCCTGTCCTCAATTCACAGTTCACATGTCCGACTACACTCTCATTACACCGGTCTGTAACCACTGACTCCTTGTGAAGAACTTCTCAGTACAATAAGTACATTTTGACACTCAGGTGCTTTCTTCCTCTCTCTCCTCTGTGACTTACTACAGAATATGTTGAGGATGTGGTCTGTGAGTACATGCAATGAGTGGCCACTGACATTACAATGTGGGGAGCAAACAACAGAGGACAGGAAATAGCAGATGCCTTGTAACTGCCACAGCAGCCCAGGCAACCCTTGCATCTCTGGTATAAAAAGCCATGAGCATAACTTTTCAGGCATCACACACACTTTTCAGGCATCACGTATGTGATAAGAAATTAGCATTTCTAATCTTTAGCATGTGTATCTTAGCTCATGGGTTAGAATTGCAGTGTGATACAGTGATTGCTAATTTGCCTTGTTTCTCATGTTTCCTCTCTTGCTGTGTTCTGTAAGGGGCGGGGGTCTGGGCTCTGTGGGTATTATACATATCCCTGTTATCCAGGGAGCGCACACTCTAACTGTATCAAATCACCACATCCAAGCCTGTCTCAAAAAAACCCCAATCTGCTGTCCCTCATTCCTGATTTCCATTCTATTATTAAAAGTGAAGCAGAGACAGTCCAAAAACCGAAACTAGGAACCAGACACCCTCAGGCTTTGATGGTTTTGTGAATGAGGAAATCAGATCAGCACCGCTCCTGATTCAGGGTTCAGTTTTGTAGAACCAAAAGCAGAATGGGGGGTTCTAGGGATGCTTCCTATAGTTACTTGTTCAACTTGGGGATTTTTCTTTTTCAGTGTCACCATGAGTACTGGGAGACATGAAGGGAACTGTGGTGCTTTCAAAAAGGGGACAATCCATGCAGATAGCTGCCATTCATCATACAAATGGATCTGCAAGAAAAAAGCAACTCTTTTGGATTTCTGAGATACCCTATGCGGATCAGTTGTATATTTAACACCTG